GTTAAAATACATAGCGCTAAGAGGGGGAGCAAACATATTAAGAACATTATGCCATATACGCCAGGTCCCTTGAAACATATGCTGTGCAGATGTTTCTTCCCTGCAGCGACTGTGTCAAGTAGCAAGGATGGACCAGCTTCCGGCATATGGGATTCCATGTTTATGAACTAAACATTCCATAACCCCTTGATAGTAGTGGTTCTGCAGAGAAGAAAGGCAAACCCAACCTGTAATAAGTCTCCCTATGGGGAAAAAACACTTGTCCTTCTAGGATGGGAAGGGACTCATGCAGCCAATTTGCCAGTAACAGGGTAGTTAGTGCTCTTAGGGAATAATATTGGAGTTCAGTGTTGATGTCTGTTTTTACAAGTTAGCTCATCAGAGGCATTAATTAGTAGATAGATTTGCCTTGACAAGTAGACTCCATAATTTTGGTATCCATATGTACTTTTCATGTCTGCCATAGTGGCCACTCTAGTTCAGCTTAAGCTTGATCCTGGATATGTTATTTCTATCTTGTGATGGACTTCTGCCAGTCATGTTTAACTTTATGACTTGGCAGGTCTGAAAGAAGCCAGCTCATAATGAATAGTTCTGGACACATACTCACTGGGCGTCCCATTGGTCAAACATTTCCTTTCTACCAGGTCCCAATAACATGCCAAGACTTACTTCTCAAACAGCATAAATTACCTCCTCTGAATGTATGGTGTTTTTCTGAATCCCAGTGGCTTATAGTTGATTCTACCACCAGAGCTTGCATGCTTTCCCATCACTGACACCTCCAACACCATAATGTCTACCAGATCACATGATATAAGCTGCAGAGCTTGCTGCAACAAGGCCTGGGCCTACCACAGCATCCTATGGTGCTTTAGGACCTACTCTGTGCAGGAAGCTTATGTTTCACCCAGTATCTGGACCAGAGGAAAATTCCTAGCTGTGGAACATGTTGGCTCCAGACCCTAAAAGGGTCTATAGACATTATGCTTCATTTATTCTATGGAGAACTCAAAATGCATCAATTTGTATTTTAATTTGTGGGGAATCATAGCATGCTTTGTCTACTGGATCCCTGAAAATTGCACTGCACTGTATGTATGGTTTCTGAAACTTCCTAGGTCTCATTTCCTATACTATGGAACACATGTGTTTTACCATAGCCTCTAGAATACTAACCATCTTTTGTTCATCCTGTCCAATCAGCATGACATCCATCAATGTCATAGATAAGTGAGATGTTTTGTGGGATGTCTAATACAGATCTCTTCTATATCATGACTGTATTATGACAGAGGCTAGGAGTGTTAAAATACCTGAGACAAATATGCAAATGAAAATTGTCATCTATTCCATAAGAAGAGCAGTGATTTTTTTATAGTTTATTTTATTTTTAATTTTCACCCAAAGACATGTTTAGAGAGAGAGAGGGAGAGAGAGAGAGAGAGAGAGAGAGAGAGATTAATGTGAGAGAGAAACACCTATTGGTTGCCTTCTACATGTGCCCTGACCAGGGATCAAACCTGCAACCCAGGCATGTGCCCCTATCAGGAATTGAACTGCAAATCCTTTGGTGCACAGGAATATCCTCAACCAACTGAGCCACTCCTGCTGGGCAAGAGCAGTGTTTTCTATCCTTTTTGTCTGATTGGAATGGTAAAAACATCTTCACCAAGTTAACAACCACCAGGCACATATTTGTGGCTTTAATAATCTGCTTAGCTATAAAACCATGAACAGACAGCTGCTGCTATCAGTGATACTGCTTTGTTAAATCTGACACGGTCTGTAACCATTCTAAGTATTCATCCCATTTCTTCAGGGGGTAGACTGTGAATTAAATGAAGATATAATATGGAGCCCCAATCTTGCATCTTCAGGCTTTATCGATAGTACTATTCTAGAACCCATGGAACATGATATTGGTTTTAATTTACTATCTTGAAAGGGATTGGATGATTGGAGGGTAGATGGTTTCAGAAGTTTCCTTCTGGCCTTTCCCGATATGATAGCTCTTATTCTACAGACTAAGGATTCCCACAAACAAGTACACAAATTATTCCCTCGGGGAATGATAAAATGACCACTGGGTTGGTTTTCTGTGCCCACTGAGCACACTCTATGCTGAAAGTTAACCAGGACACCACTCATTACCTGTTTCCTACAGACTGCCATTCTAACAAAAGGACTGTGGTAAAAGTAGGAATCTTCAGGTATCAAAGTCATTTCAGAACTTTCATCTAATAGTCATTAAAAAGTTTGGTTATTAAAAAGAATAATAAAGAGGGTAATTAAATAAATAAAGTTGAGTTATTCCCTTAACTAGTTATTCCTTTAACTAGGCTACAGTTACTTGAGTAAATGGTCATATGTGGGTCCTTTTGGAGAGTTCCGATGTGTATACTTGCTATGGTGTTGCCAGGTCACTCTTCCTAGAGATTCAAACACATTCAATTAATGGGCTACAGGTCTGAAAATGGGCTCAGGCCTGGGAACTGAGCAAGGGGTTATAATTTTATTGTGACTGGCCTTATGCTTTTCTATTCTTTTTCTGTTTGCTTTTTTCCTCCTCCTAGGCACATCATGGTTTATTAATCACCTTCACAACTTTCTGTAGGTCAAGGCCCCTTGTCTATTCCCTGACCTTACAATAGTTACAGTAATTGTAGCCTCTTGGCTTCTGCCAATTAAGAACTACCTTGAGCATCTATTATTTGGAGGTCACCATCATCCCATGAATGTTAATGACAGCATCTAACTGATTTCCTCTTCTACTATCTTTCCTGGATTATAGAGGTGATCCAACAAAGAACTTCTTAATGATGGTACCCCTGTCCCCACACATTCCTGAAAGACTTGGTGAATGATGGCTTTGGTGAACCTCCTTATGAATCATAATTCTCTGGTGGGCCTTTTGCCCTTTCATAATATACTATTCCAGTATGCACACTTCTCTCAGAGTCCTCAATTCTTTCTCAATCATCTACTAGGGTAACTCAGACATTTCTACTTCGCTTAAAGTTAACCATCACTTTATTTCCAGCTTATAAGAACCACTCCAGCAACAACTTCGCTCCATTTAATAGTGTCCTTGGTAGAGTATTAAATCCCATGTCCCAGTAAAATTCCCTGCCTCCTCAAGTACAAGAATTCTTGCTTATTCAATCTTACATCCTGGCACTCTTGATTAAGCAAATTTAAAACCCAATCCCAGGAGGACTCTCCTGGCTCCTGCCAGTAAATACCAACTAATTCTTGCAATTGCTTATTTTGGATGTCTCTATCCTCCCTTATCATACTCAGCACATCCCCACCTGGATTATGTTGGGATTTAATATGTTATCAGCTTGGTGGCTAGGAGAGGAGCCAGAAAGATGCTTCATGAGAGAGAGGCTCCTAAAGCCTATTCAAGCACAGTGAAGTGCTAGCTCTAATGGAGAAAGTATAGGCCACCTTTCTGCTAGCCCAGAGGGTCTGAACAGGTCAGAAGTCTCCATCTAGTTATCCCTGACTTTATGTTAGCATCTCAGTTTTCTCTACCATGCCCTGACCTTTGTATAACAAACTCACCTTGATTGAGCATTAAAATATCTCAACAATCTTCAGACTTATGCTTGACTGTTTTTCCTTTACCTGTAAGCAATAAGGATCACCATCTCAGACACCCTGTAGCTCTAATACTTAGCCATTAACTGCTTGCTAATAGCCCTTAATTTCTCAATTTTTTTTTCATGGATATCAGTAAATTATAGCAGAACCCAGTCAACTCCACTGTCTTATAGGCAACCCTGTCCCTGCCAAGTTTTCAAATGGCTGCATCACTTCACCTGCCAAGGTACTCTCCTCCATTGGGGCTGATTTCTTTATTTTCTTTTATGTTTTTTTCAAGTCACTATAGGAAATGCTGTTAGTAATGACAGTGTCACTTTGTGCCAGGGACTGTCCATGTCTTATTTATCAACCAGATGACATTCTCTTCATCTTTTGGGTAGCAGTGAGCCAGTCCCAAATCCATATCTTATTGCCTGCTTTCTCAGATCATTCTACTTCCAATACCAGTTCTATTTGTCGAGGTCTAACAAGAAGTAGACATTAAAATGGGCTTAATTAGGCCACAATTTTATTAGAAGAAATGCCTCCATGACAGAAAATGGAAGGTGTGCCGAGCCAGCTCAGCCAGGTTCAGTGAGCCTGAGAGGGGGCGGTGAAGGATTGAGAAAAGACAGACAAGAGAAGAAAGCTGGGTCTGGGTGGGACGCTGTCCTCTCTGATGGAGAGCTAGTGACAGCGCCACAGACTGCAAGCCGAGTCTTTATTTTATAGCCAGTTTTCACGAGGCAAAGTAAGTGTGTGGTTACAACTTTCTCATGAGTTTCAAATCTACTCAATTACATTCACCTGGTCAAGCTTTGTTTACTTGCTGTACCTCCCGCAGCCTATATCACTCAGCCATGTGGGACCACAGGTTCGAATTATAAGGTCAAGCTTACAAGTATAGCCTTTGGCTATAATTGTGCTGAGAGGGCTTTGGCCTCCAAGCTAGGACTTGCACGTGGCTTTGCCACGAGAGGACCGTGCCCTCTCATTAGTCCGAGGCTTAAACCTGTCCAAACGCTGTGGCTGCTCTCCACAGGGAGGCAGCTAAAGAAATCTGCAGGAGGTAAGTCTTACCCCTAGTAAAGAAAGGTCTGATGGAAGCATCCTATTGTTTCCTACCATCTTAGAGGATTTAGCAGAATCATCAGAGAATCTGGAGTGTATTTTAGAATCCCTGCATGCTCAGTCATTGGCTGGGAGCAGTCAAGGACGGGCTTAGTGAAAATGTGGTAGCGGGTTCAAAGTACAGCATGATGGCTTTGGCAATTAAGTTCCCTAGAGCTGGGGGTCTGTGAGGTGCATCCTCATGGCTGCCACATTAAGTTAATAAAATATAAAATGTTAGTTCAGGGGTTGGAAGAGTGGGTTACAAACTCAAATAATTATAGGGATGAGGCAGATAACAGAAATGAACAAAGTAGGCAGCCTGGCTACTGGAAAGAAAGACTGCTCAAACTTGAAGGTAACTTGGCCTCAGTGTTAGAAAACAGTAGGGTTTGGCGCTAACTGTGAGGGAATGATTGTTGGGTAGAAAAATTGGAGTCTAGCATATCCATATCTTCTGATTTATTTTTTTTGAGAATCCAGAAATGTAGATATTTATATGACATGAATTTTGCATACTGAAAAGTATTTTTAAAAACCTATTGAAGCCCAGCTGGTATTGCTCAGTGGTTGACCTATAAACCAGGAGATCACGGGTTCCATTCCAGGTCAGGGCAGATGCCTGGGTTGCAGGCTCAATCCCCAGTAGGGGCATGAAGGAGGCAGCCGATCAGTGATTCTCTCTCATCATTGTGATTATATATATATATATATCCCTCTCCCTTCCTCTATGAAATCAATAAAAATATATATTAAAAAATATATTGGATATATTCCTAAAAGTGGGATCATTGGGTCAAATGGCAGTTTCATTTTGAATATTTTAAGGAATCTCTATACTGTTTTCCGTAGTGGTTGCACCAGTCTGCATTCTCACCAGAACTTGTCGTTTGTTGATTTATTGATGGTAGCCATTCTTACAGGTGTGAGGTGATACCTCATTGTCATTTTAATTTGCATCTCTCTGAGAATTAGTGACTTTAAGAATTTTTTCATGTGTCTCAGCCTTTTGTATGTCCATTTTGAAGAAGTGTCTATTTAGGACCTTTGCCCATTTTTTAATTGGATTGTTTGTTCTCCTTTTGTTAAGTTTTATGAATTCCTTATATATTTTGGATATTAACCCCTTATCAGATGTGTCACTGGCAAATATGTTATCCCATACAGTGGCTCCCTTTTCATTTTGTTGATTTTTTTTGCTATGTAGAAGCTTTTTATTTTGATGTAGTCCCATTTGTTTATTTTCTCCTTAGTTTCTCTTGCCCTGGGAGAATCTTAAAGGAGTCTTTGTCCCAAAAATATATATGAAAATCTGTATTCTTTGCTGTTGGTATGAGGGAAATGTAGTTGGCCCAAGCATCATTAGGCTATTTTTTTATGCTCTCTGTTCCAGAGCCATGATTGTCTCAGCCACCAATAAGAGGATTTAGAGAGTAAATTTTCTCTACTGCACACCCCTGCATACCACACCATCCATCATTCCTCCCTTAGAATTAGTCCCATTAAAAAAATATGTGATTTCATTGTTCTACTTTTCTTTGTTTAAGTGTCCATTCAAGTAAAGAGCATTTAGAGAGATTAAAGACTGATCTTTGACATTATTTCCAACCTCTTGCAGCCCCAATTGTTTATTTCAATGCTAAAAGCAGTTTAAAATATGAAATAAAAATGTTATTATTGTAGCATTTGTAGATATGTATATATGAAAGAATCATTCATCCATTTCCCTATAAATGCCATGAAGTTTACATTTACTATAAGAATGTTATTAAGGAAGTCATTTAGTGTTAAAGATACTCTTTTTTGAGGTTCCTTGGGGTAAACTTTGCTCTGATCTCAGAAACAGAAGTAGTTAATGCTTTCCTTGGGAAACTAGTTGTTTTTATCTTAAGGCACTAAGAATGTAACCGAATAAATGCCATTCTTCTGGAAAGCTTGGAGCCAATCTGTGAACCTTCCAAAAAGGTTAATGGTATTTATTTTGTGTTAAGCTCATGCTGGCCCCATTTTATTTCCCCATCCTTCTTTTTTCTTTGCCTTGTTTTTCCTTTTCTTTTTAGAATTTAATCTGACCTTGATACATAACATATGTCTTTTATTGTATACCTCCTTAAAATTCCTTTTGGACCAAAGTCAAAAATATCAATAAATTACACATGAAGTCAACACTCCTCCAACTAACAAATTTCTAATTTGAATTCTTAAATACCGTGTATGGTTTCATGGGAGACTTTAGCCGGTCCAATTCAAAGACATATTACCAGACATGTGATTAATTTTAGACTTGTTTCCTAAGTATATGGTGACGTTTATTTAAAGTGCATTTCAGAACAAATGCGTGGAGTGAAATTAGGTTTTGTGTCTACCAGCAGAAAACGTGAAGTTTGTCTGCAGAGACTGACATTCTTCGATCTCTATTTCTCAGCAGAGTCAGGCTAGTCCTGTGAAATGTGACTTTGCTGAAGAATAATCTGACCTTCCAAACATAGACATTTCTAGAGAATAATTTGCTGCTCATCCATCCAGATATAGGAGTAAAGAGACGAACACCATGAGAAGACCTGAGTTTTATTAAACTTCTAAAGCTTAAACTCTTTTTTAGATTAATAACTTCTCCTAAGAAAACTCAAATATATACCTTAATTGATATTGTCTCTAATTTTTTTTACATGAATTATAATGATTGTTGATTCCTCCTATTTTTCTCTGCAAACTGTACATCATTTCATTGAAGGTTTATTCTTGTTATTTTATGTACTATAACTAAAAATATCATTTATGTAATCTACTTTTAGTGAAACTGCTAAATGGTTAAATTGTCATGGTGAAATTCACTTTTTCAAAATGGTGGATATCACATCTTCATTGCCTAGAACCTGCCAAGAGCTCCCCACTGAATTTAGAATTTAGAATGAATCTCAACTGTATTATGACTAGTAATCCTTCCCTAGTCTGATGTCTGACTAACTCTTCTGTCCTCACCACCTACCTCTCTCCCTTTCATTTTCAGGATCCAATAATATGGGTTATCTTTTTATTCTTCTAATAATATTGTTTCCCCTCTCAAGCATTTGCACTTACTTCTTCATTTTCTTAGAAATTTCTCCAGGAATCTTCAAATGTCTGGCTCTTTTATTTATTCAAATTTGGTTTAAGTTAACCTCTTAAGAGAGAGGCATTTTTGAACAATAGCCTATCTATAATAATAAAAGGGTAATATGCTAATTAGACCTGAAATCTTCTGGACATCCTTCCTGACAACCAAGAGTCTGGGTCCTGGGTGCCGGTGGACAGCCCAGAGGAGGGAAGCCCGGGTACTGGGTGCTGGAGGGAAGCCGGTGCTGGCAGCCAGGGGAAGGAAGGCCTACTCTTGCATGAATTTTCATGCATCGGGCCTCTAGTAATATCTATATTAGACTAGTTTCCTGTGTCCCCACCCAACACCCCCATCACATCATTCTTTTCTTTATTGTGTTAGGTTACACTAATTGGTTTGTTAACTTACTGGTTTTCTTATTGACTCTTGGTTGTCACTGGTTGATTGTAAACCCCTTGAGAAAGTAAGCCAGCTGGTCATCTTAATTGGTTTACCTCCTGTTTCTGTCACAGAACTTGGTACAGTAGGCTCTCAATCAACACTTTTGCTATTTTAATTAATAAAATAAAAACAATACCAGGTATTAGCAAACTATGCCAAGTGTTAACTTCAGCTGTGCTCTATCAAGCTGGTGAATAAACATTCTGAGATGTCTTCTCTCCAGCAGCTGGGTTGAGGACTGGGAATGCTGTTTCCTTCACTCAGTTATTATTTTTTTTGCTGAAAAAAATATGTACCTGTGAAATAGCTCAGTTAGTTTTGAAGGCCCAAATATATGGCTGTTAGACTATTCTGTAAGACTTACTTTTCAATTTGGCAAATTTCAATGGTTATACTTGAAAACACTGTGTACTTTCTACTTGAAGCTCATAATTGAAACTGTATTGCTTGTCTACATTATTTTAAAGTTAGTTTTAAAATCCTGAAACCTAGAGTTACACAATATGATTATATAAGTCAATAAATTATTAGAATGAAATGTCTTTCAAAATCCATATTATTCAGTCTTTATTCCTGTTTTACCACATATCTAATAAAACTAGTTAATGACTCAATCTCATATTTTATTCAAAGTACATGAGTGATAGTTATGAAAACTCATACAAAATAATTTAATTGTGTCCATGTCATGTCCCAAGCATTTTTCTAAGCACTTAATTTAATTCTGAAACAACCTTCTCTGGCAGTACTATTATTGGTTCTATTTTAAAAGTGAGGAGACTGAGGCAATGAGCTCAAACATCTTTAGTGTGGACCTAGACTGTGAATGCAGGTTATCTGATAAATGGCCTTTGTGGATTTCAGAAGGGAGAAGAAAGAACATTTTCTTCCCTCTCAGTGGGTAGATATCATTCTACTTGCCGTTAGGTAGGCTATGAAGTCTTTTGCTCTTGAGGTGACCCCTAGGATCTTCCTTCCCTTCTACCCAGAATTATTTTACCCATACTAGCTTTGGAGGTGCCATTCAATCCTTCTCTAAAACTTCTATTGTGTTTTTTTTTATTACAAAATATTTTATCACTCTAGACAATTTTGTAAAGAGTAAGACTGTGTTTATAAATGTAAAAAACCCTATAATTTTAAAACCATTAATAATTATTTATTTTCTTCCTCATGTCTTCCCTTTATATTTATACTTTGTGCTTACATATCCTTATGTGTTGTTTCAGGTCTTCTTAGAAGCAATTGCCAAGATAGGACTAAGCATGTAAGAGACTTATTCAGGGAAATGCCTGTGCTGGGTCAAAGGGGAGAGAGCTAAGGAGGGTCAGGAGAACCTTCAGATTATGATGCAGGTTTGATCCCAGTAAAGGTGAGAGGGAATGAAAAAGAAAGAGTTTCAAACTGTAGGGCAGTTCTCAAAGTTTCACTGTGGTGGCAGATTAGAGACATAGTCGCTGGGGCTATCTGTCAATTGTGCTCTGCATGGCTCATTATCAAAGGCATCAAGATCTACCCATTGTGCTGTACACATCTGTTTCTCCATGCACATTCCAGGAGCTCCTCGTGGTACATGTGGGTCTCTCAACCTGATGAGAAATAAAAGTTGGATGTTAGTAGCATGAACATCAGTCAGTAACCTTCCTGTTGATCTAGAGGCCACATCTGATCTTCTTCCTCCTCCACCATTCATTCTAAAACATCTCTTACCTTCAACTATCACCTTACCAAGTCATATTGGCTTACCTGTGTGACTCAAACCTGTATTTCTGAAGATTCTCAGCCCTTGGTAACTATACCTCCCTTAGGCCAGAGTTGCTGTATTTGTTTGTTCAGTGACATTGGGCCACAGATTACCAGAGGCACCAAGTGAATCACTGGGTTTCGTCTCCACTGTGTAAAAGCATCACTGCTTCCTTCTGATGATCTCAGTCAATTACCTCTGCCACAGTAGTGACACCTCTTTTTACCTACTGGGTCCTAAACACAATAAATCCAAAATTCCCTGGTAACCGGCATGTTGGTCAATGAGACCCTTGTGTCCACTGGCAAGAATATGGCCCCTTTGTGGACCAGAACATCCAGCACTGGAGATACCATTAGACAGGAAGACAAATTCTTCAATCTTTGAGAGTGACAGTGAGAGTGATGGTAGGTGGTCAGTTTGCATTCTGATCAGGGCACATGCCTATGTTGCAGGCTTGATGCACGATAGGGGTTGTGCAAGAGGCAGCCAATTGATGTATTGCTCTCACATCATGTTTCTATCTCTCCTTCTTCCTTCCTCTCTTTAAAAATCAATAAAAATAATTTTAAAATAAGAGTAATGGTAATAAAGGCTACTCAAAGGGTACATCTTTAATACTTTCAACAATAAAGATCAATTTAAAAAAAATAAAAGATGGGCTCAAAGGGTACATCTTTAATACTTTCAACAATAAAGATCAATTTAAAAAAATAAAAGATGGTTTACACAATGTTTTCACTCTTTGGAGCCTAGACCCATATAATCTTTCTATTGGGGAGACAGCATCATAATACAGTTCTCAGATTACATGCATTCAAAAAAATCATGAAGGATTTCACCCCACCTTCTCGGAATATTGCCTCCAAACTAGAACTTCAGCTGTTCTTTAACACGCTGTTCCATTGTTCTCTAGGCTGGCTATTTCTGAATGATACGTAAGACCAGCGAATCCCATAGTCATGGTTGCACTCCCATACCCACTTGCCCTAAAGTGTGTCTGCTGATTGGAAGCTGTGTTGTAGGGGTTCAATGCCTATAGAGCAGGCACTCTGTCAGCCTCAGGACAGTGGTGGTAACTGAGTCATGGGAGGCAGGAAAGGCAATCCCAGGCCCTGTGTAAGCATCTGTCTCTCTGAGGATGAACCACAGCCCATCTCAGCGTGGGAAGTCAAACATAGTTGATTTTCTAACTGATCAATTGGTCTTTGAGGAATATTACCACATTGGGGGGTGGGGGGGGAGAGTGTCTACTGTTAATGCCCTGAATTGTATCCAAAATGTATATGTTGAAGTCTTAACCCTCATTGTTACTGTATTTAGAAGCAAAGCCTTTCAGGAGGTTAATTAAGGCGAAACGAGGTAATTATGGTGAGGTCCTAATCCAATGGGACCAGTGTCTTTATAAACAGAGGAAGCAACATCAGATCTTTCTTCCTCTCCATGTGCAGAGAAAAAGGCCATGTGAGAACAAAGAGGGAAAGTGACATCTGAAGCCCAGGAGGGAGGCCTCACCAGAAACCACTTCTACCTGGCACCTTGATCTTGGACTTCCAGCCATAAGAACTGTAAGAAAATAAATTTCTGATGTTAAAGCCACCAATAGGTAGTATTGAGCTATGGAAGCCCAAGCAGACTAATACGGTTGCTGACAGGATGGAAATTCAGAGATGTAGCATCTTGGATGCAGGTGTCCAATACACTCTTCACAGAATATCTGAGAGAGGAAACGTTTTCAAGGCTTCCACACTTTTATTTTATTATTCATTAGGCAGGAGACTGTTGTAGAATTGGAATTGTTTTAAATGAAGTAACTATAAAATTATAATATTAAACATTCCCCCCCTCAATTCTTCTTAAGCACCTGGATATTTAAGTTAATAGTGCTAAGGGAGATATGATTAATACAATATTTCAGCCATTGGAGCTTCTAGTAAGCAGTGGAAAACTCAATTGATATGATATTTCTGCAAGAAGGTATCTTTTGCCTTCAGTCCCAAAAGGCATTTTGTTGAGCTTGCCAAAGCTGGAAAGTAGAATTGTTTTGAATATCTTTTTATGGTTCATTTACCAAACATTTAGTATGAATAAAAGTGAATCTGAAATCTTTTTAACATCTTAAAAATAAATACATTAAAAATTTTTCTACTTATTTAGAGTTGATGTCCCTGAACCAGTAGATACAATCCTAAATAATTCTGCAAATTTTATTTTGCATTTACTCTAGTAGGTGGTGGGGACAAAAGAATGAAAAAGACAGGTATTAGTTACACTCTTAAAGAGATTACATATTAATGGCTTCCTTGTCAGAGTTTCACTTAAGGTGTCAAGGTAAGATATTCGTTACATCTTTTGAGGCAGCTTTTGAAGCCTGTGTATCTATTTAACTCCATTATCATCTGCACAGTTAAGAAAGTCAAGAAGAATAGCATAATGAGAGGAAACACTAACCAGGATATCTGTCACTTTGTTCAGTTGATACACATAGTGAATATAAATCTTGCTAATAGACTAAGCAAGAATGAGCATTGTCATAATGTGTGTAGCTAGTTGAAAGTACAACATAAAAACAAAGAAAGGAAGCCTAATTCATGCAACAAATCCAATTTAACCTGAATTCATGACCTACAGAAATGGAACCTGGGCAAATTTTCTAATTGTTAGTCTCTTAAGTTATATGTTCTAGAGCATTTCTATAATGTGTTTTAATGTGGGAAGATATTTACAAAAATGATTCCCAGTGATGAAATTCTTTTGTTTATCATTTACCAAAGTACTTCAATGTTTTAACTTACCATTATTATTTTTGTATTTACTGAAATCCTTTTGTTGAAAGCCGCTGGCAGTGTGTGTGTGTGTGTGTGTGTGTGTGTGTGTGTGTGTGTGTGTGTGTATGCGTGCATGCATTGTTGAATAAAACCCATATACTTTTCCCTATATCATCTGGTTCTTTGTTCTACATTATACTTTTTCTAGGGTTTCTGGTAAACTGCTATTCTGTATTAAGTTGCTAAGTCTCATGAGGAAATGTCTTTTCTTTTCCAAAATAGATTTAATATAGTCATACAAAGGTTTATTCCCAAGACCTTTAGCAATATCCAATAAATATGTCTGAGAAAGAACATGCATTATTTTTCATATCATCAAACTCAAGGACAATATCACTGGGGCAACTTTACAGTGCTCTATAAAATTAAATGCGTATAATTCTTTCACTGCAGTTACCTAGGAACACATTGTATTTTACGATGCTTTCCACAGCAAATTTGTAGATGTTGAGCTGAGCCAGTAGAAGATTTTCTTTATGAATACAGTGTAAACTACTTTTAAAAACATACCGAGATGTGTTAGTATATTTGCTTCTGAGTTCAATAGAAAAAAATATACCTCCTAATTAGTCATATTTGCTAAAATACTAAAAATTGCCTCATCTTATCTCACATGATTTGGTTGCTAGATTACATAATTAATAATGTGTAACCTATGGAGATGTGAGTACTCCCTTAGTAATATGACAAGACAATTCAGTTTATTATTTCTACTTATAATTTATTTTCAATTGTGAATGTGATTCTAGTGGCAAAAGGTTTATGAATAAAAAATAATCATTACTATATTATTTTGCTTTTGGGTGAGGAAATATTTGGGTCTGAAAAGAGTAAACGAAAATAAATATTTTGTGTTAGGGAGTGCATGACTAGAGTAAGCTATGCTATTCAAAGGTGCATTGTTTTTGTCTTTTTGAATACAAAAATCCTATTCTTTCTTACTTATTGATTTTTTTTTGCCATGGGTTTAATCATATTATTTTATTATTAGCCCCTAAACTCTACAATTGGTTTATATTTTGTATAAAGTACCCTATTAACTAGTACCGAGATTGCTGGTTTAAAAAGTAGTCTGTATGTGACATTAACATCATTAGAGAATTGTTTTGTTATATAATTAGGGTTCTTATTTAACTGTATAATTAGAGATCTGGTTGGTTTTATTTCATTTGGTCAAGCAGTGATCCACATCTCAAAGATGCAGGAAGCATAAAGCATTCCTATGGCAAACATAATACTGCCTGACTTTTATGTTTAAGATGATATGTGACAAGTAATATTTGTTTTATATAAATTCTAAAATGACAGTTCAACAAATTCAACAGATAAAATAACTCCAAGCACCGAACTCATTTATCTTATATCAATAAACCAGATATCTTCTGGCTAGAGTCTCCTGCTCCTTTGAAATCATTTAATAGGCTCAAACAAACTTCCAAGCATGATCTTCAGAAACCTACACCCTGTCTCTGACATTGTGGGAACCGTCTGGAGCTTCTGAGATTTTGAATCCTCTTCTGTTGGGCTAATGCTTTTGCACATGCTGTTGTACTCCATACAGCATGTTTCAGGGAAAATATCCTACAAAAAATCATTTGTAACTGAGCTTCCTCCATCAAATGCTGGTGGGGAAGCATATTATTCTGGGGCGCTGGAGTTGGGAGAGGGGAGGCTGTACATTGAAGAAACAGAAATAAGTAGAAAGTAGATACTTTCTACTAGATACTTCCTATAGGTATGTCTGCCGTACACCATCACTCTGGTTCTTCTGACTCTCTTGTTATTCTTTCTTTGTCTTCAAATACTTCTATCCTCAGAGCAAGACTAATTTCTTTCTTTATCTTTTACAGAAAAGTTTAGTCACAATTCATTTTATTTATTTTTCTGATAATAAGGTCCATAGAACTAAACCTGTATAGAAAGTAGCTTAGCAGGATGATTACCCAACAACATTTCTTTTACGTTTTTATTTTTGCCTTGTTCCACCTGACTTTTGTAAATGAGATGTTATGTGAATGCAGCAGAAATGGCTCACTTGTTGATAGCTGAGGGCTTGACATTCCCTAGTTAGGCGTGTAGTGGGTGTCTTGAGGTCCATGGTCAACTTAACTCCTCACAGAGTGATGGCTTCTTCAGCTACCAAGTTCCCCCCGTGGAGCTATCTCTATAAAAGCAAAGCAGTATTTTTATAGGAAAATAATTGACAGGCCTCTTCCTCCGGCTGCATGACTTTATATGGAAAATGAGTCTTCTCTTTCTGTTTAAGAAGTGACAAGTATACCCCTGGCCTTTTTAATATTAGCAAAAACCTACAGTTATTAAGTAATTTATTGCTGGATTTTTAGTGTTGTGCCCTCATAATAAAATTATGTTAATTACATAATGTGTTTTAAATTAGAATGTATGTTTTCAAGTCAGGTAATACCTTCTTGTCTTGGATTTTTCCAGAAATAATATCTGTAATATGCCCTATTTCCAGAGAAGAGTCATTGATCTAGAACATCTAAATGGTTGACTGTTTAGAAGTACAAAGAAACCAAAAATATTTAGAAAAATTTCATGCTTTTGCAGGCTAACAGGGCCAATGCAGAACTAAAGAATTTTTATTTAAAATTAACCCAATTTGGTTTAGATTTTGCTTTCTTTTTCGCAGTTAATGTATCCACTTTCTCTGAATACACATGCACATTTATAAAAAAGAATATTGAAAATATTTATTTTAAAAATAATATGAACTGACTATACATAAATATTAGAGAAAATAGAGGCCCAGTGCATGAAATTTGTGCAACGGGGGGAGCGGGCCTAAGCTGCAGTCTGGCCTCCCTCTGTGGGAGGTGACCGGCCGATCAGGGGAAGGCACCACCACCACCACCCCCTCACTGCTGCTGCCTCTGGCCTCCCTCTGCAGG